TAGCTTTCCTGATAGAAGTGGTTTTCTTTGTGATGTAGTTATCCTGATGAAGTAGCTTTCCTGATAGAAGTGGTTTTCTTTGTGATGTAGTTATCTTGATGAACTAGCTTTCCTGATAGAAGTAGTTATCCTGATAGAGGTAGTTTTCTTTGTGATATACTTCTCCTGATAAAACGTAATATATTGTTGATGTAGTTATTTCGTGATCCTTCTTCGATTGGTAAAATTCCATGTAATGTTTTTTTTAATAAACTACAGCTTCTCATAACGTTCCCCATGTATAGTCGTCTGTCCACTGTAAAACTAATCATTAAATAAACTACAGCTTCTCATAATGACTATACATGGGGAACAGTTTATTTAATGATTAGTACAGTGGACAGACGACTATACATGGGGAACGATTATGAGAAGCTGTAGTTTATTTAATGATTAGTTTTATAGTGGACGGACACAGCTTCTCATAACGTTCCCCATGTATAGTCCAACCTCACAGATATTTAACCTCAATTATTAAAGGAAAGCTTCTTATATAATTTTCCAACAATACCTTTAAACTAGTTTATAAATTTCTAGCATTGTGTGAAGACTTAGTTTTCCATCATTGCTTGAAAAATAGACTAGTTCTGTTTTGTCAATTAATTCTACCTTAAACAGGAAAATGTAAGACTGGAGATATGTAACTGGAGATATGTCACCCTCTGCTTTCTAAACATGTCCATGGATTTATAGGAAGAAAAAGTATATGTATTGTTATTAATAGTTAGAAAATGTATATGGTCATTGTAATAGATTCCATAGGTGCACTTGCTTACCAATAGCTTGAACGACAAGAAGAAAAATTCTTAACTGAACTTTCTGCCTTCTTTTCTTCTTTTCAGTATTCGAGAATGTAACTTTGTTTGGACATTTTGGGCAACTAGACTCTTGTGACTTTTTCTAAAGTGGCAACATGAGATTGTGGAAGAGAAGGGTGCAGTTAAACAGTGTGGCACGTTATAACACAAACAGGAATAGAATTACTTAACACTGGAATTAGAAGTGTGGACAGGGTTATAAGTTATGCCTTGGTATAAAAAAAGATTCTAGCTTTGTTCAATAGGCAGCAGATTTAGATTTGAAAAATAAAAATGCTAATAACTGTATTTTGTCGAATTTTATTGTTTATTTCTTGTCTTTAAGACATATGTTGGTATTTTTATTATGTAAATACTCTGAGTTAAACAAAATATAAGTAAAAAACTCTTGTCAGTGTGGTAATAATTTTTTCCTTCAAGTTGCTGATGAAGTGAAATTTTTTACAACTCAGGCGAGTGCTTTATCAACTGTGCTAAAAGATTAACCCACTAGCATTTGCTATTACAACACTATTTTTTTTAACCTTGCGTTAGTCTTCTGTAAAAATTTTCCATGGTCACTCCTCTGGGGTCCAAGGGGACTCCATCATAAAAAAATAATTTTAAAATACTTAAATAATCATAAACTATTATTTTGGAACCAAAAGAAACATCAAGACTCAAAATCTTTTCCTTTATTAATCAATAAATGAACATTGAATATTATAATTTATATCTTTTTTACCACCTAAGCTAAGTGTGTCAACTTAACACAAACTAGCCGAATACAGAAGCTACTGAGAACAACAAACATGTACGTGTTTTCATCTGTCGGCGTCGTTGTTGTTTACAAACAATTTGGTGTCCGTGAAGACCTTGGAAGAGTAAAACAGGGTTAAAAATTAAAACTTCCATGTTTTCCCCATCTCACAAACATGACAAACACTAATGGGGTGTCAGTTTTCCTGTAGTAAACATATTTTTGCATCTCCCGTGAGTAGGACTTGAATTCTATATGGGCCGTATGAAAGATAAATGCTGGTAAGCACTTTTTAAAGAATTCATGTTGCGACACTGTGGACAGTTTTGGATTAGTAAAAACCATGAAATTCCTAGTTACTGTCTGGAAACAAACCTGCGTGTCTCCTTTAGTGTAGAAGGCAACATACAGAAGACTGATGTGCTCTTAGAAACATTTATAGAAGACTTACCCAGCCATCATCATTGGTCGGAATTAAACTTGGTCATCAAATGAAGAGATTTTGATGATTAGTTTTACAGTGGACTGATATAAATATAATCAGGATGTTCAACTATGATTCCATTCACAACATGTCACTAAGTTATTCTGGATTTGGTGAATTCCTGACAGTCTGGAGTATAGGTTATCAGCATAAAGCAAGTTTCTACTACAGGATTACAAATATACGTATATCGACCAACTTGTTGTCCTTAACATAAAAGTCATGGCATTGACAAAATATATTGTGTGTTGGACTGAAAATATTAATGAACTGAAAACCAATATCTCTTATGATGATACCCAGTATCAACCAATACAATGAATGATGATACCCAGTGTCTACCAATACTTAAATGATGATACCCAGTATCTACCAATACATTAAATGGTGATACCCAGTATCTACCAATACATTAAATTATGATATCCAGTATCTACCAATACATTAAATGATGATACCCAGTGTCTACCAATACATTAAATGGTGATACCCAGTGTCTACCAATACATTAAATGATGATACCCAGTATCTACCAATACATTAAATGGTGATACCAAATATGTACCAATACATTAAATTATGATACCAAATATCTACCAATACATTAAATTATGATACCCAGTATCTACCAATACATTAAATGATGATACCCAGTATCTACCAATACATTAAATGATGATACCAAATATCTATCAATACATTAAATGATGATATCCAGTATCTACCAATACATTAAATGATGATATCCAGTATCTACCAATACATTAAATGATGATATCCAGTATCTACCAATACATTAAATGATGATACCAAATATCTATCAATACATTAAACGATAATACCCAGTATCTATCAATACATTAAATGATGATATCCAGTATCTATCAATACATTAAATGATGATATCCAGTATCTACCAATACATTAAATGATGATACCAAATATCTATCAATACATTAAATGATAATACCCAGTATCTATCAATACATTAAATGATGATACCCAGTATCTACCAATACATTAAATGATAATACCCAGTATCAACCAATACATTAAATTATGATACCCAGTATCTATCAATACATTAAATGATGATATCCAGTATCTATCAATACATTAAATGATGATATCCAGTATCTACCAATACAGTGACTTATTAAGCTATAGATACATAACTAATTTTTATGTTGTGATATGTTCACCATAACTCTGATCTACTCTTGTTCAGGTATACTGAGTTATCAATTGAACATAGCTATTTTACATACCATAAGAATTTGTGGTTAGCTATCTGTTTTACTCATATTAAATTAAACGTTTTTTTTAGTACTTCACACCGATTTTTTTTCTTTGAGTTTAAACTTTAGCTCAGGAAGTTCCAGTGACACCACGATGTTCTGTATATACATTTAATTATTTTATACAGTCTTAAATGAAAGAAGTCATTTTTCCACCGTACCTGATATTATTATGTAAGTTTTTATGTAATTAGATTAATGTTTTATGTATTCTATTTATTTCATCAAAAGTATGTTTTTAACTTATAGAGGTATACGTAGCTGTTATTTTATATGAACACCTTCAGCATCTACACTGACATTTATCTAAGTGGTTAATAAGCTAACACTGAAATATCTTCAGCATATTCAATAAGTTAGTGGTTATCTTATTTATTACAGGCTGTGTTGATTTTCTGTTGCATCGGTGTCAAGCTGTCTTGATTACGTATAGTCATGGGTTTGGTATCAG